GATTCCCAATTGTAGTATTTTTACTTCTAAACTTCGTGTATTATTATCTTTTAGGGCCAAGATCTTCTTATTATTTATAGAGTAATAAATTAAATTGGAAATGATAACTATAACCAGGCTAAGGCTGGTACTTATCTAGGTAAAATCTTCCTAGGTTTAAGGTTCGATTCCTTATAGCATATTAATGTAAATGCATATTCTAATTGCTTTGCTCACTAACCTTAAATGATTAAAATTTTTATGTGAACCACTCTCCTGAACTATGAACAGGTACCTTTTACAGGTGGATAGAATGTTAAATAGTGTAAAGAGATTATTAGCCTCTACATAAACATCCAGGCTACCGTCATGAACGTCAAGACTATAAATATAAAGGGTTCGCTTCAACCTTAGGGTCTTTTTTAAGGATTCTATATTACTTATTCAGCGATCTACTAGCGCTCCTATAAAAACACCTTAACAAATAAGTATAAAACCTGATAAATATCTTAAAACATTATGAAGCAATAGTGCTTTACCTTATATTGAAATCTAACCGTTAGACTCTAGGTAAACTTAGTCAATTATAATGTTTTATTATTAATAGGTTAAATATATGAAAGCTAAAAACTGCCATAATGATAAACAATACTAGAAGCATACAATTATCTAAGAATTAAACTTTAATTGTTGAATACTTCAAAAGACTACTAACCAAATAAATAAATAAATATTCCGTATGTATTCTTTCACTAAAAATAAATGGTTAAAGGTTTCATTAAACCTATAAAGTAAAAAAAAAAAAAAAATTTGGGTATAACCTCTACTCATATAAATAGCTAACACAAGAATGTAACAAATAAAAGCTAACTTTTTACAAAAGTCTTAACACGTTTATAGAGCTTTACGAAGTGATTTAGCTTGATTATATTAAATTTTATTTCATAGCGTGCTACAGTAAGTTATCCTAATGTTTAAGCTTAGTTTAGCTTACTTTGACGAACTATAGTTTATAAAATATAAGGGTAATTTAACTATCAAATAAACCTATTTTTACAATCCTCTGACCTGCCTTGATTTAACTCAATTTAATAACTTCACATAATTTAACTTAACTTGATCATAAACAAATCTATACAATTACATAAGAAAACACAGTTACCTTAACAAAGCAGGAATAGTAAAGGCTAGCTTACAGTGATAACCTTACTATATGTAGTTAGTTTAGAATTAATAAATTCACTTAATCGTTTTGTTTAACACGGTCGAGCTAACGTCCTTTAAATTTAATTGTATAAATACGCTGTAGATACGTAACTAATTAAACTAAAATAACCAAGTAATTTTGAACAAATTTAATAATAAAATCTTAATCGCAAACTACATATAATCAAAAAACATCAAAGAAACAAACTTAAATTAACTAACACAATAAATTAATTAGTGTAAGTTTTAAAATAACAATTAAATTAAGAAAAAAATAAATCTAAGAAACTTAAATACCATTTTTAATTATCATACAGATACTTACAATAAATAAACTCTATTAGAATAAAAATACAATTAAAATTAATATATTTTTGATATTTCTTATAAAAGCTAATAAAATTTAATAAAATCATTCAATAAAGTAAAATTAGATCAAGTTAAATCTAATAAAGTAAAAACTTGTACATTTAAAAATAATTTAAACATTATAAATAAATTAAAATAAATCGTATAATTTACATTTTAAAATAGAGTGCAGTAATACTATCTAATACCCATTAATACGCTATTGCTCCATACTACTATACAAATATATGTAGATAACTAGCATAATGAAATATACTAACCAGTAGCATAGAGTATAAAACTTAAGTTATTAACAATATTAAATCTAATTAAATACAAATAAATAAAAATATAAATTAGCAAAAAAATTGAGTTTGTTAAAAGAGTGCTTCTCTCTATATTAGTCTAACTTAATTTACTTTGACTTTATCTTCTTTATCTTCTTTATTTATTATTTTACTAGGTAGAAGCACTATTTTTTCTTTTGAACAAAATTTTTGGCACTCTTAAGGTGCTTAAAAACACGTAATAAGAGAGCAAGCTAATTAACTTGCTCTCGCTTCGCACTTTCGCTCGTGCCCTTATCTACCTTATCGGTGCACGAGCTTGTGTCGAAGCCTTTTTAGTAGTTTGATCACAGAAGGTAAGACCTTTGTCGTTGTATAGTCAGACACATTGGCGACTGGGTAGACTTAACGCATTGCCTTGGGCTATTTGCTCTTATCTTTTGAGCATTCGTGCTAGGTTGTACGCGCTGCAGGTTAGTAAGAACTTGCCGGCAACTGCGGTTCCCAGGCACCTGTGAGTACAAGTGACCCAGAAGGTCCTATATATAAAATTTGCGTCTAAGTGACGTTTAGTTCTCAAGGGTTACGAATGGTTTCCATCTACGTCGCTCGGAAGAATGTCATCCTAAGACGGACTAGCATTGAGATGTAGACTAATCTTCGGTCGGGCCATGTCACTCTCTACTATTCGGCGGCGTTCGTCCCTTACACTTCTCCAAGCCCTCTGTTGACTCGGGTTCTATATTAAACTCAGGTTACACATGGCTAGCTTACTCTTTTAAACTCAAAGCTAATGGCGAATTAATCACCCCCCCCAATGAATCGTGATTATGGTACCTTCCTGACTGGGGCTCTTAGTCGTTAGCTTGATGCTACTTAGGAAAGGCTCAGGTAGCAATAGCTAACCAACTTATGACAAGTTAGAGACGCTCGGTTCGAAAGAACTTCCTTTAAAACTGACAAAAAACGTCACTTAGATAGAGTTTTTAAGCAGGTTCTACTTTACCTGTATTCGTGGAAGCAAATTTTAGCTAGCCGAAAGATACGAGAAGTTTGTAGCGAACGAATGACTTTAAAGCTCCTCAGCATCTTATCTTGGGAGTTTCGCTTTGAGTACTACATTGCCTTTCGGAGATGCTCCTTTGTGAAAATCAATGAATAGTCAGTCGTAATCAATCTCTTAACTATAAAGGGTTGACGAAAGCTGCTAAGTTATGTAGCACACTACTATAGTTGAAGGTTAGGAGCAAAGACGAACGTCGCTATAGCAAGAGTTACCTATTGAGTAATGGTTCTACAGTCTGATCCTCGATCCGGAGGATGGAGGTATGATCTTTCGCGGCGTCTTTTGGACGCTTTGGATTGTACCTGTACTATGGCGCTGGTAGCACACTCTACCTATACTTTGTCGAGGCTCGTTACGGCGCATTTCGTGACTGGCTTGGCTGCACTGTACAGACTAGTGTCTGCTACTAGTACTATAGTTAGACTATAGTACTAGTACTATATATAAAACCGCGCCGCTCCCAGCCATTTTTGTCAGTCTTTTCACAAGTACTTACACCATCCTACATGCACAGGGAGAAACCCAAGTTGTGTTTATTTTCTCATGATCTGGGATCCCTTTTTTTGCTACGGAGTTCTGTTCTAATCTCTTGTTCTTGTATGATCTGTTTAGTGTTACAGTGATCTGTTGTTCTTTTTGTGTTTTTTTTTAGTCTGTCCGTCTTTATTCTGATATACTTGTTGCTCTCTTATTGCCTCATATTTGATAATGTCGTTTACTTTAATGTCTATTGAATTTTATTCTTATACACAGCGCCCAGCCATCTTTATAAAGGTGACGTTACCTTCAGATACCAAGTAAAATTCAATAGGAGTTAAGAATAAAAGAATTTGTATGATATTTAATACTTTTACTATAAGCAAGACACAGAATACTATCAATGCCCACACCTACAAAAAAAATTAATTAGATAAGCTTTTTTTTTAACCCTAATATACTGTCCAGGGGTCAGACCGAGCCAAACGAGAATTTAAAATATTGCAACTATTGAATAAAACTATATATAAATAAAATTTTTAACTAGTAATACGTAATGGGGGCCATTAGAAACAGTACGGACATATTTTATGCTACGACTAATTAACACTATTTTTACATTATCATTTCCCAGTATTAATATTTTAGATTATCTTTTGGTTAATCTAACCCGTGGATAGTAGTTGAAGTCTAATATAAACAATTCGCGCTGTGAGTAGTAATCGTAGTTAACTTAGTAGATGAACATTCTTAGAAGTTTAATAATTAAACGGACAAATTCTTTATATAAAATAGATAACAAAGTAAGTTACAATCACTTATCCCTCTATCTTTGTAGTTGCGTCCATAATGGAAATACATGGAAAGACAGTAAATATAATATTAATAAGAGTATAAAAGAAGGTACTTCTGAAAACAAAGGTTCAAAGGTTAAATTTCAGGAATCTCCTCCTCCTAATAAAAAATCCTCTCGGAGTAATACTCCAACCCATCTATTTTTAAGAAGTAAATTAGCAATTTGGGACGTAGAGGTCTATGAAGAGTTACAAAAGATTGGGAAGACTCTGAGTTTTGACGATGCCATTAGCTTGAATAAAGTCTACTAATAATTTATATAAAACAACTTTTCTTTAAACACTTTTAGGCTTACGTTAATTCCAACAATCACTCGAAAGCTCTTCAAAGTTTTAAACTTATATTATCAAACTTTAGTTCAGCCCCTAATTTTGGTCATTTAAAAAATTGTTACGATATTTTTTTTAATCTATCCTTTTGCTTCAGATGTCACTATTGAAAATTATCTGATTTTTTTAATCTCAAACTCTCATACTCAATTGGCTTATTCCCTTTTGCTATTGTAGTAAACTTGCTCACAAAGATTCTTTATTACTTCGTTTATATATATTATATAAACTTAGGTGTGAAAGTACTAAGGATAATCAAAGTTCTATAAGAAATTCACTTAGCCAACTTTGCCTCAGTAACTTTGAGGTTTATAATAAAGAAGATTGCTTGGAAGAATGTAAAAAACTTAGAAGAATTATAAACTTTTTATTATAACTTATACATATCACGCAGGTCTCTTCTTTTTTGATTTTTATAAACTTTTGGGACAGCCCGTGCCAAACGGAATATATGAAAAGTTATTTACTATGTTATTTAAACATAAGGATTATGATAACGGTATGTACACACTCGGAACTGGGGCTCCTAATTTTCTCACTAAGCCGCTAATTTATTCGCTTTGTTTTTTAATTTAAATGCTTAATCCGGTTTATCCTTGTATAGTTTGCATGCAAATAAGAAAGTACGAGCGCCTTGCAAAATAGAATAAACTTTTTTATTATTTAGAAATACTTTAAAAATGAGATTCATTCCCCTTTTTTTTTCATTAAGGACGCTATATTATATAACTAGCTTAATACTTTTCTTGTAGTTAAAAAATACGCACAAGAAATTAAGGAATTGAATCCACCTTATAACGACTTTTTACTGCATAACCGAATTATATATAATTACTTTTTAAAGAAGGAACAGTCACGAGGTTTACTTTGCACTATTTATCTCAAATTTTGTATTTATAAATCTTTTGACAGCTCTTGATTATTTTGAAAGTATCTTAACGAATGGTTTCCCGCTTTGTTATGGTTTTATACGAAAATTGTTACTATCTTTGATGCAAAGTGACCTTCATGAAAGCGGTTTCAATCAAGTATATATTTTTACAACTTCTTAAAAGTAATTTGGGTCACCCCTGCCCTCTGCAGCATTGGATTTGGGAGTTCGGCTCATAACTTTCCAAGAGGCTGTGAATTTTGAAATCCTTGAAATTTTGTTTACTTGTGCTTTACACTGTAACAGTCTTGAGAGAGGTTGCTAGAACGTTGTAATATACTTCAGCTGTACTTAAAATATATAATAATTTCCAAAGGGATAAAGTTAGTGAAGTACCTAGAAAAATTAGTTTCCGATCGGTCGCTTACAGCAAGAAGCACAGCAGACCTTCTGCATTTAAGCGGAGCCTACTCCTCCGCCATCCTGCTTTTACTCGAACACCGAAAAGTGAAAGAAGCTCTTTACTACTTCGTTAAGATGCATGAAGCCGGATGTCCTTCCACTTCGCTAAGCGAAAAAGTTACTTTGGAACTTCATAGTCTTTTAGAAGGCTCTCCAGAGGCAAATCTAGAGCCTAGCAGTGCGTCCCATTCTTCGTAAGTCAGCAGCGTTAAATGGCAATGCAGGCCACACATTTATATAAATTAATATAATAAAGGTGTCTCTTTAATTCGCTTTTAGGTAGGTATAAACGTTTTAGCTTTATAATAAGAACAGTTCACAAGGTTATCTGTGCTTGCAGATTTGAAGCTATCTTTTTATATATACCTTATAGCTGTAAGAGATTCAATCAATAAGTTGGCGTATACTTAAGGAAATCGGATATTTGAGAGAAGAGAAGGATAGAAAGTTATAACAGTGAGGACATAATACTTTTTTGCTCACTATATATATCAAATAGAAACAATCTCTGGTCTCGCATCACTATTTAAAATAAGCTCAATTCTCTAATTAACGCTGGTGCTGTTTATAAAAAAAATTGAATCGGAAGGAAATACACTTTATAAGTATTTACATATAACAAAAGATATTAATGATAAATATAAATATATACATAAAAAAAAGTATAAAGTTAATGGATTTCCGAGATTTTCATTAACTTATCCTAAACCTGTATTTTTATTTTTACCTTTTATTATAGATAGCAATCTTTTCTGTCAACCTAAAAAAAATTAGTTCTTTTGTTAAAATAATTTGTATCCTTTAGATGCCATTTAAAGGCATATGCGTGTTTTTATTGGTAAAACCAAAGTTATTTAGCAGTGTAAACTTTTAAACACATATTTGTTGATTTCACAGGCTATAAGCCCTCGCGAACTTGTTATAAACAGTAAAGTAATAGGACATAGTTATGAAGTTTATTATAGACAGTAAAGTAATATAGTACAAGAAAGTCGAATTACTTGAAAGAACTAATTTTATTTGGCTATAACCCAGAGGCACCAACCACACTAACAATGAAAAAAAAACTGCAGCAGCTGCGCGAAGCATATGAGCGCTTCCCTTATTTGAAATTTTTTTGCGTCTAAATATCCTTCAACTTTTCTAAAAAAGAAAAGTGAGTTCATGCAGCCATTATATTAGCGTTTTTGATGCATGAACATAATATAACTTGCCCATCTCTTTTCTTTGTTTCCTTTTTTAGGCGCTGGCATACTATGACCGAACTTCGTAGGAGACTTTAAGGCGCTTTATCTAAATCCCCCTCTTATGTAGAGGTTGGGCTCGATTGTCCACCAGTGTAGGCTCCTTTATATTTGAGCCCGAAGGACTGGAAGAGCAGAAAATATCTGCTTGGATTCTCACCATTTGGTCTAGTGTGGTGTAAAAATCCGCTAAAAACCACCATTAGGAGAGCCTGCCTTAGGCACAAGACCCTGGGGCCCCGACTTCAACCGTTTCATCAATCTTGACAGTAAAAACGGGATATGGGGCCATTGTGAAAAAGTATTCTAATTAATGACATTTATAAATACTCATCTTCCTTTAAGGGTGAAGGCTTATCGGTATATTTTCTATTCCCTTAAAAACATGGTTAACAACAGTAATTATTCTCTATAGATATATATATGGCACCTTATCGTGTTACCGTTCATTAATTAGGTTTTATGTCTTCAAAGCTGAAGGAAGGTTACTTAATTGGTTTGTAACGTGGTCGCGCGTTCGTCATAAGGCGTAGGAGCTTGTTTTGTCTCACTTAAAGTAAAGAGACTGTTATCGAGGAGTCGTAGGCCCAGACAATAGACGTGTATGTATGTGGTTGGCCAGATACACAACACATACAAGCGTCGTTCGTTGTGCAACGTGAGTTTACTTAAGCACAAAGTAAAAAGGTATAAAGTTATTGTTGGTAGTGACCTCCAGATATTTCGCTTGGGGACACTAAAGTATAATCTTATTTCCCAGTGTGAGTGGCGGTAATAGTGCGCTTCGTTATATGAGGACTATGCTTTTTTCCGCATTATTAGTAATTTTTTTAACGAGGGTACCACTTCACAAATCGTCATTTGGTTAGCACTACAGATGCTGGCGCAATAAGACAGGCGACCTTAACAAAGAGTAAATCGCCGTATCAACCGCATATATGGCAACCTGCGTGTGGGGGTCATTGGGAACGGCGGGCATATTAAGTGCAAAGAGTAATAGTGATAAAAAGAGGTCCTTGTGCTGTATCAGCCGTTAGTGGTGCTCGGGATAAGCACAAATCGCCCACACATAATTTTGAAGACACGATCTTTTAGTTAAGTTTTGTTTACGTTAAGAAAAACAGCAGGGAGGGCGGTGGCGCACAATATGTAAAGCAAGCTCCCACATTCGATCGAAAGCTTTTTGCGATATCAGGAAAGACGGCGCCTGTAGCCTTCTCTAAATTAAAGTTACGGGTCGCCCACGCTGTGTGGCGAAGGAGAGCTGCTGCTCTTGGAGTGTCCTTGTCACAATCCACATTGGAACTCCCGCAGGGCGAGGATTGAGTTAACAAAAGCTATCAAGCGGTGCACTATCGCTGCTTCAGCTACCTTGCAAAGGCTGCTTATAGGCCTGCATTTGCTTGGCAAAAACGCTGAGCTCGGTGTTTTCGGGAGCACCACAACAGTGTACGTCTTCCAGGCTCCTTCTTTCTCTCACGTTTTAATGGCTACACGTTTTGTTCCTTAGCCTATTAATAGAGCTCGGTCAACAAAAAATTAAATATTAAGAATTTATGTTTTTCATTGGTGTTGTTAAAAGCAGAGTTAAATTTTTTACGGACTATCATTTATTAGTAAAATTTTATTAATACGTTTTAATTAGAGGCGAAAAGTTTAATATCTTCATTTAAAAAAATCTGCTTAAAAGAGTATTTTCATTCGTTAATAAGTTTACAGAGGTGTTTTTTTTATAATTTATCAGATTTAGCATTATTATTTTGTTAACTTTAAGTAGCGTAATTAAGTTATTTTTGAATTTATTTATTATTAGTTCTAATATGAGTACGTTAAAACTAACTATGAATTACATAATTTATTTCTAAGGCCCTAGAAACTATACTTTTATTTTTTCACTTACGTATCCATGGGGTTATTAGGTTTTATCTTTTTAAATAAAACGTCGTTATATCTTTGTTCCTTACCGCTCTATATAAACTATTAGCTTTTCTCTATATGATCTAATAGTTCGGTTATACTCTGGGTTATCCTAATCAAATTATGTTTACCTACTATTCAGCCTTAAGTTTACCATCTGTGTTTAATTTTAAAACTTATAATATAATATACACTTTCACACAACGTATTAGAAAGTCCCCTAAAAATATTCCAGTACCGAAATTAATAATCGGTAGCGCGAACTAGATCATTCAACTATGCACAATTATTTAATTTTTTTTGGCTGTAAATAGGACAGGGTACGCCTAGAAGCTAACAATTCGCATTAAAAACTTATATAAGGGCTTATTAGAAAAAAGGACGTACAACTGCGGTAATATGAGAGAGCTGAAACATTTAGTTGGTAATTGGACAGTCCGCTAATCTTAAATAATTTAAATCATTTATATTTAGGCGGAGAACCCCTGGAACAAAAGTACACAAAACTCTATATTGCAAAAAATTAAAGGCAGGGGGGGGGGAGGAATTAGAATTCGTGTGAGGTAGTCGTTTAGCCCTTTTTAAGCGACTGTTAATAAACGATTTTCTCGCGTATGATTAATATCGTATGACGTAAAAAAAAAAAACAAGCTTATTAATTGCGTTTCTCGCTAATTCTACTTTGCGGAGAGATACTCTAAATACCCCTACACGCTGATTCCTACTTAGTAAAAAATTAAACGCTCAAGAAACCATCACTTTATAGTATTTACTATTCTATGAGCGCGTATGTCCATACACATAGTTTGAAAATTATGTAAAGAATCAAAAAGAGCATTACCTTTCCGTTGCAAAAAGCGAGAGTGGTGAAAACTGGATGTGTATGTAAGAAATAGTCGTACAAAACGTAATCACTACTGAATTGATTCTTAGAGTTTCATCTGTTTGATAAGGTGTAAAATTATTAGCTAGGTTGGCTTACGTCAACAGTTGACATATATATAACGATAAATTCAAGTGAAAGTTATCATATTAAGTGATACAACTATTTTGCTGCTTGATTTTCTATTATTGACCGTCACAGCTTAACCCTAGAATGGTAAGATGGGAATGCAGGACCAGAACGGTAGCATCCGGTCAAACTGGACCTATTAAAATTATGGTGAATATTATTTCTATATTTTAAGTGGTAGGAAAGATCAAGCAAACCTGTTAAAACCATATAAAAAAGATATATAGGTTAGAACAAAATAGCGAAAATATTGGAAAAAACATTTAACTTTATCTTTCTTTTATAATAACTAAAGCCTTTTTGGTTTTTTAAAACTGCTATCGCTTTCTTATAAAAAAACATGATAAAAAAAAGAAAACTTAATTAACAGTGCTCATTAAATTCGTTAGTACAATCCTGGCAAATAGCACTACGACGTTCAGCGCATATAATCAAGAAATATATATAAAGCACTAACATATACACAGAAAAACATACACATACGTGTGGACGAACAGTTAAGCATACAAAATTAATTGTGCAAAGATAAACCAGCCACTAACATTATAAAGTAATAGCTTTGAAGGAATGCACCCTCTTGGTCTTTTGGCAGAGACAATTTTAATCTAAATCATTTATACAAAAATGGCAGTTCTGGTTTAATTGGTCTTTTGAACAGAAACAGGTTAAACATGTTTTCACAAATAATCTTTAACCTAATCTAAATTATACATATTTGAAACATTTTAAACTTTCGTAAAGATATAAATATATGACCTAAGTGACCAGAAATTGGAATAAGGTATGGGGGGAAAAACCCAATTTTATTTCTTTAAGCTTTGAATGTTTCTATAAACGTTTTAAGCACAATGAGCTACGAGAACTGTCGAATTGCTCAGAGAGATATAATCCTGGGACAACAGAACCAATTTCAACAAGCTTGAATACCTTGGCAGTACAGTCATACAACTCTGTAATGATGACGACATAAAAAAGCACTCCCAAATTAGTCACTACTCAAAGCTTTAAGTATAACGACTAGAACCTGGTAAT